TTCTGGGACCTGAAAGCAGTTTGGAGGGACTGATGGCTTAGATCCATGGGAGGTGGAGAAGGAAGAGTCCAAGTGGTCTTAAATGTCTAAGTAAAGAAAGGGGTTTGGGGTCTTTCAGTGAGCAGTGGAGAGTAGCTGATTAGTACTAAACGGGGAGGTGACAAATCACACCTGAGGCCTGAGAATCCAGGGCAGAGTGAAAATTCACAGGACTGGTGCAAGCTCCAGAAACCAAAGGCCAGAGAACCCAGGTTCAGATGTCCAAGGGCAAGAAAGGAGGGTGCTCCAGAAGAGATGAGATGGTTAATTTGAGTGTCAACTTTACTAGATGAAGCGTTGGGTATGTCTGTGAGGCTGGTCCTAGAGGAGCGCAAGGTCCTAGGAGTTGAAGGTCTCAGTGGGGAAGGTGCCCTCAGTGTGAGCGGGAGTTATCCAGTCGGCTGAGGACCCAGACAGAATCACAAGGCAGATGAAAGGCACAATCACTTTCTCTTTTAGACTTGGAGCACCCTCCTTTCTTGCCTTTGGACGTCAGAACTCTGGGTTCTCTGGCCTTTGGTTTCTGGAGCTTGCACCAGTCCTGTGAACTCTCACTCTGCCCTGGGTTCTCAGGCCCTCAGGTGTGATTTGTCACCTTTCCAGTTAATACTCATCAATTAATCTCCACTGCCCATTGAAAGACTCAAAAATTTTTTAAAAAATGTTAATCATAGGGACCTGGGGATGCAGCTCATTGGCACAATGTCTACCTGGCAAGGTCCTGAGATCGATTCCTGATACCTTCCCCAAAAGAAAGTTAATACTAGTAATGCAGTGTTGGTTCAATATTTGAAAGTCATTTGATATGATCTACCATAATCCTATCAAAAGATAATATTAAGAAAAGCAAAAGGCAAACAAACCATAGCAGAAAAATCATTTGGAAAATAAAACTTTATTCATGTCAAAGAACTTAGACAACCTAAAGAAATCTGAAGACTGGACAAAGATAAACCCAATACCTGAGCAGACATTTTATGTATTAATGGCCTATAGACATAAAAATATGCCCTAAATCTGTCATCATTAAAGCAACACAAATAGGAACTACAATTTGTTCTCTAGAATGGCTAAAATTGACAAGACTGACAATACTATGCCTCAGTGAGTGTAGGGCAACGGGGCCCTCATGCATGGTAAGTAGATATGCAAAACAGCACCATTTTAAAATCAATTTTACAGTTTTCTACATTAAATATACCCTCACAACTCCAAACTATTTGTCCAAGAAAAATGAAAACACATCTACACAAAATTTTTACATGAGTATTCATGGTACACATTCTTAATAGTCAAAAATTATAGTGGTACAAATGTCTGCACTACCAGTAATCAAAATACACCAGTAGTATATTCCTAAGATGGAATGTTGCTCAGCAATGAAGAGGAATGAATCACTGATAGACATAATACTGTGGATGCATCTCAGAAACATCCTGCTAAGTAAAAGTCACAAAAGGCAACTGTATTTGTCAGTTTCTCCAATTTAAAGGAGGAAGGGTTTATTTTTGTGCCTGGTTTTACAGTAGAGGATTCAGTCCACGTTGGGCTGGTTTCTGAGCAGCAACATCATGGTGGAAGGGTGTGGCAGAGAAAAGCTGCTTGGTTTATGTCAGCAGGAAAGAGGAGAAAAACCATGCCAGGGAAAAAGGGGCCAGGACCAGACAGAAATGATGTCCAAGGTCACACTTCCATGGCCCACCCAGACATACCCAGACGTGCTTTACTGTTCTCGTAGGCGGCTCACAAGCCAACTCAGCCTTACTGTCACAGCAACATACTACATCAGTCTCTGTTATAATAAATTTTAAAATAAATTCAAGTTCCTTGGGGTGAGAATGGGCTTCAAAGAGGCTGAAGGACTTCAGAGGCAGTGTTCTAACACTGGTATGTGGAAGGTGGCTGCATGGCTGTGCACACTTACAAATATTCATCACACTTCGCACTTAAAATGGCCAAAATTTAGAATATGCACATAGCTGTAAAAATGAAAATGACAGCTAATCAAAGATGTTTTCAGGAAAGTAAAACCTGAGAGACTTCAATGCTAGCAGCTCAGAACTAGAGAAACGCTAGGGAGGCTGAAGGAAAGTGATTTCAGATGACAAGGGGGGCGTGCAGGGAGAAACCAAGAGGACTGTGACGGCAAACAGGTTCTGTTTAAAAGGAGGTTGATCTGGGCACAGCGCCCACATCTGGAATCCCACCACTCTGGGAGACTGAGGCAAGCGGATGGCAAGTTCAAGCTCAGCCTGGGGAATCTAACAACTTAGCATGATCTCAAAAAACAAACCAATAAAAAAATAAAAAATTTTTGAAGGGCTATGGGTATTGCCCAATGTGAAGGCCCTGGGTTCAACCAGCAGTACCACACACAAATTTTTGTTTAAAAAGAAAACAATTAGGTTGCAAATAAATATATTGCAAACTGTGAGAGGAAGATATATAGTAATAGAATAAGTGCTCAGATAAGATGATACCTTATCCAAACTCAAAAATATGATGAAACAGTCTTTAAAAAATGATTCCCCATTTATGCATGACATCTCTGAAAAGTTAGGACTATTACATTTACTATTGCATTTGCTGCAAAGGTTTTCTTTTTGCATATAAAATTAACATATGTATAAAAACTCTTACCATATTTGTCCTGTTTAATGTTCTGCCTCTATTTCCTCTTTGTTCTTCTGAAAGCATGGGCAATGCATTCAGTCAGAAGATAGCAGTTAGCTAGCTCTGCCAAAGCCCAGCAGTTTCATTAATTGTATGAATCACATCCAGGGAGGCCTTTGGCAGCTATCTTGTCTTGATAGTTCAGCCGTTTTTATCTTGGCTTTTAAAAGATTATTGTAGCTTTATATTCAGATTTTTTTTCCTGGACACGCTTCTAGGCTCTAATATACCTTTTAATGGAGAGGGGCTTTATCTCAGAAAAACCCTCTGTTTTTCTCAGTGAGCAAAAGCCAGTGGCTGAGACACAGTCTCAACAATAAAGCAAGGGGTATTTAGAGAGAACACAGAGAGAGAAGCGGAATGTGTCCACTGCTCAACAACTTCACTTGAATCAGGACTAACAGCCTTGTAGGGTGGCCGACTCCACGACTCGCTGGAATTGGGTGACTGAGATGTGGGCTCTCAGAGGACAGTGGGTTATCAAAACCCAGAGGAAGCATTGTACGTGGAGTGCACAGGCTGAGCAGGGTAGGCTTGGGTAGGGAACCACAGGGGCTGGGAGGGAGGACCTGTGCACATACACAGCCTCTCCCTCCTTCCCTCCCACCTCGCGTCAGTAGATGCATGGCCCAAACACAACTGGAAAGCGAAAGGCAGGTTGGGCCAGACCCCGAGGGCATGGAGAATGATAGAAAAGGAAAGTGAGGGGGCTGAAAGGGAATAGGGGGCAGTTACTGAGCACAGCACTCTCATGCATCTATCTAGAAAAGAGACCACTATTCAAGTTTGAATCTCAGTTGTGCCACCAGTTACATCCTATGTGACTTCGTAGAGGCCACATGACAGCTGAGCCACAGTGTCTTATTCTGTTAAAATGAGGGGAACAATATTCACCTCCCAGAGTTTTTGTAAGGATAAGGTCAACACGGTAACATTTAGCCCAGTGTCTGGCACACAATAAATGCTAGGGAAATAAGTGACAGTACCTACCCCATTCCATAAAACATACCCTTTGTTTACCTCTTTTAAACCAAGCCAAGGTATCTACTTTTAGTCCCAATGAAAGCACGCATTAGAAAACCTCTCTTACTTTCCAAGGCCCTGGGAAAATGTCAGGATTCTTTTGTCTCAGATACTTTATAGTTATAATTGCCCTAAGGCAGGGTATTATTTAAGCAGGAAAACATTTTTTTTTTATAATTGAGAAATGCTACACACACTGCAGAGAAGAATTTGGCTCTTAGCAAATAATTCAGCATAAATTATCACCTATTTATGAGAAGCAGCAGTTTGTCTCCTAGGACAGCAAAACACTGACATCAGCTGTCTCCTGTTTCCTGCCGGAAATGAGTTGCTCAGCATGCAGGATGGGATAGCTCAGATGTACTCTGTTCTAGTCAGGGGTTGTGCAGAGAACAATTAGAATCAGGACACAGAATTTAGAATATTATTTATGATGATCACCCAGAGTTTAACAAGAAAGTGCAGGAAATCTGTCCATAACACTAAAGACCCAGAATGTTTAGCCAAGGACCTGGATCCCACAGCAAAGCCTGCAAGAGTCCAGATGAAGACCTAGAACCTATGACAATGCCTCCCACGAGTCTAACTGGAGCCCTAGAGCCCACAAGAAGGACTCACGCCAGTCTGTTTTATGGATCTGTGCTGGGAAGACCCAAAGGTCAGCAGTGGAAGCTACAAAGTCTATGCCAGCGGGGTGAAGGAGCTGTGCTGGTAGATTGAGGGTTCTACACTGGAGCTGAGAAGTCACACTCATAATAAAAAACAGAGCTGTCCTGAAAAGCACCATGGCCAAACTCAGTGACATGGAGGTCCCAAGCTCTTCCAATGATAAGAATAGTCGAGTACATGCCAGGAAGCCAGCGTAATTGATGAGTTTGTCCTGGACATTAAACCGCACACGTCTTCCCTCCAGAGTCAGGAAGCAATGCTCAATGTAAAGACCAGAGCTCCCCAAAGTGAACCACAGTCACTCTCACCAACAAGGTCCTGAGCTCCTCGGATGACAATGGTCAAACTCACTGCGGAGGCTAATCATGATGAGCTCCTCCAGGAGAACCAACAGCTCAAACAGCAGCACCTAGAGAAACCCACAACACCTCACTTGTCTTCTCCAAGTCTCTATGCTGGCAACTTTCCTCAGATGAAACATCTACACTTGGTGTTAAGTTGATTAATCCATTACATACTGTCTTAGTTACTTTTTACTCGTCGCTGAGACAAAATACCTGAAGCCCAAGTTGGGAAAGGAAAGGTTTATTTCTTACAGTTTTTGGAGGTTTCAGTCCACACTCAGTTGGCTCCAAGGCAGGCGGGCATGGCTGGGCAGCAGTTCATGGTTGCTGCAAACAGCAAACAGGAACCAGCAAAAGAGCAAGACGCACCTTCTTCCTGCCATTATATCACATCCTGGCGCCACCCCTAGCTGGGAGTAGCACTGACACCATCAATCCCAGCACTAGACAATGCAAATGCACAATGCAAACTCATGAGGCCTGGGGGCCACAGACATAAACCATGACACACACTCTAAGTCAGTTTCTTTTTTTTTTTATTTTATTTAAGGAGAAAAGAAAAGAAAGAAAAAAAAAACAGTGAAGGGGTACAAGTTATACAGATTTACAGAAGAAAAAAATGCGCAGTAGGAAATCACTAGTTAATGGATTACCTATTGCCATCTTAGAAATAATTGTTCAAGTCACAAAATTAAAGCTTCTAGAGTGGACATTCCAACAATGATACTGCAAACAGTTCTGTTCAATGATCCAATAAAACTCTGTGATATCATTTTCTATCTTATACATTTAAATATACATGCAGTTATATAGTTTAGAGCACTTTCTTTTCCTCTCTTTTGTACAGTGACTATTACACATTTTGGGTTTCATTGCTCCCACGGTTCTTATTGCTTTTTTGGAAGAGAGTAAAACCAAATGTGACATAACAGAACAGAATCGGTCAAGTCAAAAGGGTGGATATAATAGATAATATAAAAACATAATACAAGGTGATCAACAATGGTTACCATAATGCCTCCCGCTATTTCTACTAGAATTGCCTATATCATTAGTTGTAATACAATTGAACAAAACCATAAAGAATAAAACCGACAAAACCAAAACATTGGATGTCGGTGTCGCTCCCGGCCGGCAGGAAGAACACACGACAAGATCTGGCAGTGGCTGGGCTTTATTTTCCCTCTCCGTACAGTCTGCCCCAGGATTTTTCCCGGCCGAAGCCTCTACCGGTCCGCTCCCCGCGGCTCCTTTCGTGCTTCTCCCTCTGGCGGGAGAGGCACTCACTTTTATAAGGTTACAGTGGCCAATCAGTTCAAAGCGCGCGATGCGGGCTGATTGGCTAACATCAGTTGTTGCTAGGCAGACTATTTACCAAGCAGACAAGCAGGAGACAAGCGCCATCTTAGCACACTCGATGGGAGGGGTAATCTAGCTTAGGCTTTGCTCTTTCCTACAAGCCTCACGTCCACCAAGTAAGGCGACTGGGCTCGGCCGCGGCTCCCAACAATTGGAGATATTGTAGGTCTTCAAAAGTAGATAAAAGTCAACGAGAATGGGCGTTATAATGAATCTCATTATCTTCTCAGCTGATGCCTAAACTTTCAAACCTGATACTATCCAGCAAAACAGAATAGAGGAACCTCAGTCAAAAACAAGATGGTGAGAGGGGCTGGGGATTTAGCTCAGCGGCATAAGTGCCTGCCTTGCAAGCAGGCAGTCGTGAGTTCAATCCCTGGTACCAACAAAAACGGAAAAGACAAAAAAAAAAAAAAAAAAAAACAACAAGATGGTGAGAGTAATACAGGGCTTCAAATAGAGATAATAGAAAGTCAAAGTGGGTTACTATATTATATCCTGCTATATTTTTCCCTTTAATTAAATGGATAAAAATAAAAAAGTAAATAATGGAGTGGAGATTGAGAAAAAAGAGGGCATAACAGCGAAACAGGGCAGATCAAAACATAACTATTTAAGCAGAATAGTGTTTCACCACCAGATATTTCCGACCCAAAAGTAGTTACCATATTGACTCCCTCCCTGAAGTCCTTGAGTACAACTTCATATACTTTAGCATTAAGTATATCAAAACAATGTAAAACCATTTAAGAGAATGACAGCATTATAGAGTATTTAGAATCGACTAACAGAAAATGAACAATGGTCTCTGTATAATCTCCTTGTCTTTAAAAGGTTTTTGCTTATACTATCGTACATAACAAAATCCAGTAAGATACAACCTGTTTAGACCATTGGAGACAGAAGAACAAAAGCTAGATGAGACTTCAAAACAAGATGGTACTAAATCATCATTACCTATTAAGATGTCATTTTCTCCAAAATAGCTGTTCCTATCATCCAATCTTCTCTGTCTCATTTCTGTTGAGCTCTTTTTCTGTCAATAGCTGTCAGTTTGTCTTCTTCATTTTGTTCTCTGCTCCATTCGTTGTGGCCTCCCCGCCACTATTTCTGGGTTCTTTGTATTTTTCTTTTTTTAGAATATCCTGCAATACTTTCTGTAGGGTTGAATTGGTGGTTGCAAATTCCCCCAGTTCCTCTTTATCCTGGAAGCACCTCGTTTTTCCATCAATTTCCAGGGACAGTTGTGCAGGATATCTCAATCTTGGCTGGAGATTATTATCTTTCAAAGCTTGAATTATTTCCCCCCATGCTCTTCGTGATTTGATGGTTTGTGAAGAGAAATCTGCTGTAATTCTGATGGGTGTTCCCTTGTAAGTGATCTGTTTCTTGTCTCTTACAGCTTTTAATATTCTGTTCTTGTATTGAATTTCTGGAATTTTTATTATTATATGCCTGGGTGTTTCTCTGTTAGGGTTGTAGGTAGCTGGGGTCCTGTATGCCTCATACATCTGAGTATCTTTACCTTTTGCTAAATTAGGAAAATTCTCCTGAATTATTTCTTTGAGTAGCTTTTGTAGTTCACTTGTTTGTGTCCCTACTTCTTCTTTTATGTTCTTAATCCTTAAGTTATGGTTCCTCTTATCATCTTCTTGTCTTTGTATTATTGCTGTTTGTTTCTTTGTTATTTTTAAGAAGTTTTTCATTTCATTCTCCCATATTACAAGTCTGCCCTCCAGTTCAGATAGTCTGTCCTTAGTTTCTTTCAAGCTGTTATGCCAGTCTTGGATAGACTTCTTAATTTCTTGATAGTCCCTTTGAACCTGCTTCACATACTCAATGCTTTCTCTGTTTTCTCCATCAAGCAATTCTCCCCTCTTTTTCTGTTCTTCCATTCCACCATCCGTTTTTTCCTGGGTGATGCTTAGCATTTCTCTAACTATTCTGCATACTTCTAGCTTCAGGTCATTGATAACTTCATTCCTGAATTGGTCTATGAGGCTCTCTATATGACGCTTAATGTATATTGGTGCGGTGTCCACTATTGCCTGTTTCTCAGGATTGGGGGCCGAGGAGCCTTTTTTGTTGCTTCCCTTCCTCATATTTTCTGTTCCTTATAAAATGCAAGCTTACATGGGAGGCCCGGCTTCCCTGCCTGTCAGCCACAGCCTGATCAAATTGCGCTGGCTAGTTGTTCCCGCCCACCGCTGCGCACCAGGGAGTTGCGGAGGAGGCAGCCTACGCGGGAGTCAGTCGCTCCTCCAGGCCACCGTCAGGCTCTGGGATCTGGGTTAGGCCAGCCTAGGGAGTCCCCCAGCAGCGTCACTCAGGCCAGGCACTTTTCACCAATCCCGTCCGAGAGGGGAATGTGTGGCTGGAGTTGCCACCGCGCCCTGCTCTTACAGGACTGCCTGAGCCCAGAAAGACCTCCGCTGGAGTCAAACTGTGGTAGGGGGTCAGTTTCTCACTCACCTCGCCACCAGTCAGTTTTCGTGTACGCCTCCTTGTCCGTCCTGTTTTTGACTCCGTTCGCAGACTCCCGTTCCCAGAGCTCGGCGCGTCTCTCCTTGCCGAGCCGCTGTGGAGGCAGCCAGCCGCCGGGCGGCAGGAAACCCAAATCGCAGTTTCCAATGGCGCGGGGTCGAGCCTCTACACCGAGTCTTTTCTGTTCCTATTTTAGCGCCAGGACTGTATTCTAAGTTGGTTTCTCTCAGCCCAGTTCGTTCCTGAGTCAGCAGAGCATATCTCTACTGGTTCGTGTCTCCTTAGTCCGCATCATTCCTGGCCTCTGAGCCGAGCCTTTCAGAGAGCCTCCGGTACTTGCTGTTGTCTGTCTGCCATGTTCTCCCGGAGTCTCTAAGTCAGTTTCTTATTACAAGGATTGGAGCAGTTTTTATCATAAAATCATGTATAAGTTTGGAATGTCATTTCCAGGTTCTGATAAAAAGCCCATAACATAATCCTATAATCATCTAATGTTTTTATCCATCATCCCCTAGGCTGGAATAATTTTGGTTATTCCATTTTCCCAGAGAAATTACAAAATGCTAATGGTTGTATTGCTGTGTAGATCTCTAAAAGGGTCTGGATCATGAGCAGACCACAGATTTTCTCTAGCGGTATTCAGATGACAAAGGGAAAATTTGTGGATATTGAGAATAATACTAAGAAAGACTCACAAAGTGATAATAATGCTTACATGTGAACCCACTTTCCACTTTACTAAGCCACTTCACAGTCGTTACATCAGTTGAGGGGGGCAGAGGTAATTGTCTCTTGCTTTTTACAGATGAATAAACTGACTTTGTATCATGTTTGGTAGCTTTTCCAAGGCCTTCCAACAATTTGGGTTAGCACACAATTAGAACAGAGGTCTTCTAATTATCCTAAAGTGAAAAGTAAACTGGAGAACTTGGCATTCTAGAATCATTAACTGGTCATTTGCTATTTATAAAAGAACAAAAAAAAGACCACCAGACCTTTACCATTTACAAAGAAAGCAGAGTTAGGAGTTTATGTCTTTGCCTAAAAGAGAACATCCATAAGTTTCTAAAAATTCACTGATTATTTTGCTGAGAGGAAAAAGACAGAATATTGGAAATGCTTTAGAAAGGTGGTGGGGACTTCAGGTAGGTAGTTATGCTAACTAAGCATTGAAAATTTTTATAGGACCAACCTAGACTCTTCCTTATTTGGTAAAAGCTTTGGGCAGGACACAGTCCTTAGCCCCAGTCAGGGCTGGCCTGAGGGAATCACTGAGGGGTCACAATCCTCTGTAAGCTTCAGTGGGTTTCAATAAAGCAGAGATTTACTTTCAACATCTCAGCTCTCAGACTTCTCAAACACTTGTCATAATCACCTGAGGGCTTGCTTAAGCCAAACTGCCGGGCCCAATCCCAGAGTTCCTGATTCAGTACTCTGGCTTTAAGCCTCAAAAGCAAGGGCCAAATGATGCCCACAGCTGGGTTAGGGTCCACTCTATTAGCAGTGCTATCCTAGATACACAAGGCTCAAACTAAAATGTTTTAAT